GTGACATAGGCAAGGGGCAGGGTGGTCAACGTCTCCAGCATCTTGGGTGTGTGTCCATGTATGGTGGGGTTACTGCATCTCCAAGCACAGTGTTGAGGTCTTCTCTGACTCCTTTAAGTTTTGGGCTGGGACAGGGGCCCTCCCTCAGTCCTCCTGCTTCTGTGCTTCTGGGGAGGACTTTTCCAGGGAGTTCATTTCACATAGCCTCAGAGGCTGTTCCTTCCTGATTCCTCTCTCTTGCTTTGTGACAGACATTCATTAGGAAGCACTTTTTTATCTTTGGGGGATCAGGATGGGCCTCAGCTCTATAAAATTTGATTTAACCTAACCCTGTCTTGGAGGAGGGCCCACAGATGGAAAGTGACTAAGGCAGAATTGGAACCTGAATAACTTGGCTGCAGAGCCCATGTCCTTAACCCCTAGGATAGTCAGTTCAGGGAGTCTTTGAGCTGGGGGTAGAGCATTTGACTCAACTCTACAGATACTTCTGGGCACATCTGTGAGTGCACAATTAATGTCTGAGGATAACAAGGCTTGTCCCCTGGCCTAAAATCTCTGACAGCTGAGAAAGGGACAAGAGATACAGAAATGGTATGGCCATCACATGTGATGGTTGTGCCCATGTGAGCCATGGTGGCCTGGTAGCCAGTGGAATGGGGGGAGGACCTAGAGAGGGGTCTGAGCTGAGGAGTGAAGAACTGAACTTGGCAACCTGGCAAAGTAGGGTGAAAGGCGTCCTGGATGTGGGAAGTAAGGGTGAGTAATGATTGACTGCCTGTGCTGTGAGGTCCTCCAGGAATAAACAACTAGGCCTGGCCTGGCAGGAAGGATGCTGGGAAGGTGGGCTCATGAGGGCATGGCCCTGGACAGGCTATGAACTTTCATGCTGTTGGCGGCAGCACAACCCCATGAAAAAGATTAAATCAGGGGAGCTACTTTGTCAGATCAGCCTCTAGAGAACCCACTGGCTGGAGGGTAGAGGATGGCTCTGAATGTGGGGGAGGTGAGACCACAGGCAGAGAGAGATGCTCCTTAGAGGACAGATTGCCAGGGAGTTGACTAGAGCAGGAGAGGGCAGGGAGATGACTGAGGAGTATGGAGGAGATCGATAGAATTTAAGGGGAAAGAGGAGGAGATAGCGTTCAAGCGGTGCTTTGCAACAGAATAGGTAGGATTTAGAGCTAATAAGTTTGTGTATGTAAAATATATGGGTCAATATTTCAACTCTACGCAGAGCCTATTTCATCTTCATAATTTTTCTCCCCTTGGCTGCTGCACTTCAGAACACCTCCAGCTTTCAAGCTTACTTACCCCAGTCTGCTTTGGGATTGTATTATTTGTTGTGTCTCCCAAGACCTTTGAAGTCCTTGCCCCTCTACCAGCGTGCCTGATAGAGGGAAGCTCTCCCACTTTGGGGTGAAGGTAGCTATCATGAAGCCCCATTACTTTGAGACCAATGAGCAACCCTGAAATGTTTTCTTAGGGCATGGGATTGGGCCAGCCCAAAGGTCAAGGAGATTATGGAGAGAAACACCTGGCATCTAGTGAGCTGTGGACCATGGCAAGAGGAGCAAACCATTTTCTGGAACCTGATTTTATCATTAAAGCCTCCTACAGTCTCAGGTTCATCCTCCTGGCTGACTCTCCCACCCAGTGGGAACATTTAACTTTATACCCATGATTCAGCGTGGTCAACTAGTAACTTAAAGGGAGGGTTTAGGTATGTTAGAGCTGGGGACCACGTGTCATGTGAAGCCTCATTATGTTGAGGAGCAATCTGAAGCCAGAGAGGGAGTTCTTTGAAACTTTCTTCCCATTGGTGAGAACTGCATGAAGTGCCCCTGATACTCACCTGGCTGGGAGGCCAAGCTCACCTACATCTCCATGAATTACGTGTTTAACTTCCGGTGGGTGCTATGGTCTACTGGAGCTCCCCAAATCCTGCTAATGCCCTGTGAATCCAAAACTGGGGTACATGAAGGATCTAGTTGGGGTGCTATGTGAGGGTTGATGCTTTATGGGGAGGAAAGTAGGGTGGAGGGAGGGAGTGCTCCAGTTTCTAGGATTATGTAGCTTACACTCCACCTGACCTCTGCCCCGGCTTCTCCTAGGACTCTGAGGATATTAGGAGGCAAGAACCATGTTTTGAGGCCGAGGAACAGGAATCCAAAAGCACACAATCCTTGCCCTGTTCCTTCAGCAGCTTCTCAAGGTTCTGAGCCTCATGGCCCTGAATTTACACTTTTCGGAAGGAATGAACACTGGAAGGGGCTCAGCCCCATCTTCTCTGCCTCTGTTTATCTCCTCAGAGTGTGCCTTGGCCATGGCCATTCTCCCCCTCCCACAGAATGGAAATGGCCCGGAGAAGGTGAAGGCCCCTTGCCACTGAAGATACCTGTGGACAGAGGTAGAGGTGTGGAGGGCAACCACCAGGCTGACCCACCAGCCACAGGTACCAGCTTAGCAGGGAGTCCTATTACCTGAGAGTGGGTGGCATTCCCAACTCTAGGAAAAGAGCCTTCTGAGTGGTCCTGCAGCACTCCAAGCCTCCATCCATGACCTGAATTTTGTGATGTTAGGAGTTTGAGCCCAGGCGAGCACTGTCTTAGCCAGCAGTCAACAGAGAGACCCATGAAGTGGTGAGCCAGGCCCGGGCCTATGTTGGGGCAGTCTCAAGTCATCCTTTTCAAGATTCGAGGCAACCCCTGGGTCTCACCTGTCTTCTCTAGAACTGGGTTACTCCTGAGCCTGCTCAGCCCTCCAGTGACATTATCTGACATCTCCCAACCAAGACTTCCCTGTTCACTCACCCAGGAAGCAGAGTTGGGAAATGCCTCCTAGATCCAGTGTAGGAGGTGTTATGCCTTGGAGTGGTTATGAAGGAGGTGAGGTTTGCTTCTGTCACTTCCCATACAGGCTTTGGGTTTGTGCCCCAAACGTGGGTCCATGAGCTGACCCCACCACCACCCGTGGTATAGAGTAGCCACGCTCACTGGCCGTTTCCATCTGATTCTGGAGCTGACCAACCTTGGTAGATCATGGAGCACAGAGATGCATCCTTGACCCTTCACTCTAGGGATCTTTGTGTCAGACCTTCTAGACAGGGAAGGTATGGGTAGTTGGCCCTGTGTCCCTGGGAATGAGCTGGTGACCCTAGAGGTTTAGCCAAAGAACGACTGTAGACTCTAGCATCATTCTGTCCCTGCATATTGTGAAGTCCTGGGTGTGACCCCTCACTACTCACACCTCTGACTCATATCCTTACTTCCTTATCTTTACCAACTTCCTTCCGACCTTTCTGTGAATTCTTTGCCCTATTGCTTAGAATCTTTCCCTCCCTTCCAAGTCCTGATCCTAAGAATTTTCTAAGCATCTGGCCACAGTCCTCTGCTTTTCCCAGATGTCATTTCCTCTTAGAGCAACGGTTCTCAACCTGGGGGTCGAACGACCCTTTCACATGGGTCGCCTAAGACCATCGGAAAACACATATATAATTACATATTGTTTTTGTGATTAATCACTATGCTTTAATTATGTTCAATTTGTAACAATGAAATTGGGGGTCACCACAACATGAGGAACTGTATTAAAGGGTCGTGGCATTAGGAAAGTTGAGAACCACTGTCTTAGAGTCAAGGACTCAGCCCCAGGGCCTTTCTGCAGCTGCCCAGGGAACCCACGACCCAATCCTCATCGTCTGGCTAGACCTCATCTCATTGATATTCCTATCAGAACTCTCTCTTCTCTGGCCTTCTTTGCCTATGCCCAACTTGTCCCCCCTCCTTATTACTCTTGCCACCTATGATTCTACCTGTTACCAGCCCTACCTTAAAATTACTTTGACTCCTGGCCTCCCTTCTCTCTGCACATCCAACTAGCCACTGTGCCAATCGACTTCATAATCCCTTCCTTCTACCATCACCACCCCAACTGCCAGGCTCCCCAGGTCACCAGATCACCTTGCATGTGTGTCTGGTCCTGGGGGGTAGAAGAAAAATGCCCAGAAAAATGCCCAGTGGGTCCCTAGCTGGTTTAGCTCAGTGGATAGAGCATCGGCCTGCGTACTGAAGGGTCCCGGGGTTTGATTCCAGTCAAACACACGTACCTTAGTTGCAGGCTTGATCCCCAGCCCTGGTTAGGGAGCGTGCAGGAGGCAATCAATTGATGTGTCCCTCTCACACCTGTGTTTTCTCTCTGTCTCTCCCCTCCCTTCCACTCTCTCTAAAAGTCAATAGAAAAATATCCTCGGGTGAGGATTCACAACAAAATATCCGGTGAGGGCCCTGTGTCCTCAGTCCTTGATTCCCTCCATTTGCCTGGTCACTGGGTGACATTTAGAGCTGGGCTTGCTTGGAGTGCAGTGAGGCTCCTCATTGGCCACCTGAGTACCACCTCCCAAGAACCCAGGGCCTGAGGCCCCCGATCTTTCTGCTTTCTGGGAGTTGGGGCTTCCCATCACCAGCCTCCTTTACAGGAGGGGCCTGCTGCGTCTGGTTCAGAAGACATATCTATCCTGAGAGAAACTTTTTTCATCATCTCTCATAATGGAGACTCACCTAAGGGCAGAGAATTCCAAAGAGCTAATAACCTGGAATTAATTTCTCTTGGGGTTTGGGAGGCACAAAACCAATTTTGTTTGTTTTACATTAATGAGTTTGCCTTAATTTTTTCCTCTAAAAATGAAAATTAACTTTATTCACATGCCTATACACCTAACACATGACTTGATCCCTAGACCAGAAGTAGGGGGTTCCCAAGGGGGCTTTCTGGGCTGAGTCCTCCTTTCTCATTTATCCTGCTCAGACCACTCAGGTGAGCCACCTCTCAGCATCAACATCAACACCGAGGTCTCCCCATCCTTGGCACCTTCACCCATCAGGGCTGGGGGAGAGAAGGGCAGCCACCAGGGCTCTCTGACGTGACAAGGCTTCAGGTTAGACTTGAATTTCTTGCATCCAGGCTAATTGGTGTGGTGATGCATCCATCCACCTATAAAAATTATAGAGTGGCTCCCTCAGAGGCCCTGTGTGTGTTGCCAGGCGTGGAAGGGAGGAGAGCTCTTCTCCACAGACTGCCAGCTCGGGGTCAGAGGAGCAGCCTCTCTTGCTGTCTCCTGAGCCCGATCCTTCTTGGCCATCACCTCCTACCCGCCCTATGGCGGCTCTCACGGACCTCTCCTTTATGTACCGCTGGTTCAAGAACTGCAATCTTGTCCGCAACCTCTCAGACAAGTATGTCTTCATCACAGGCTGTGACTCCGGCTTCGGGCACCAACTGGCCAAACAGCTGGTTGATCGAGGCATGCGGGTGCTGGCTGCTTGTCTCACTGAGGAGGGGGCCCGGAAGCTTCAACAAGACACCTCCTATCGGCTGCAGACCACCCTCTTGGATGTCACCAAGAGCGAGAGCGTTCAGGCGGCGGCCCACTGGGTGAGGGACCAAGTGGGCGAGCAAGGTGGGGCGAATTGCATTCTTTAGCTTTCTCAGTTGATCCTTTGTCTTTCTCCTACAGGCATCTGACAGTTCTCAGGGAACCTGTTGTTCAGATGGGGTGGGAGAGGTGATGTTGAGAAAGGGTCTGAGGCTCTGGCCGAGTGGGACTGGACGCTGTTGCATGGTTTGGTCTGTCCGCACGAAGGGCTGAGTTCCCAAGGAAGTTTCTCTCCCAGACACTCCGAGGGCTGGAGGGAGGTTGTCATAGGAGGTAGGGAAGAGAAGGTGTTTTCTGCATGTCCAGACCTCTAAAGATGGAGTCGCTTCTCTGGGACTTTGGCAGTCCTGACCATCAGCTCTTGTCGGGACCAGGCTGGGGAAGGCAGACGGGAATGTGAGGTCAGATTCCCTGAGTGGAGGCATTTGCTCTCCTGGACTGTGTCAGGCTAGATCCTCACATCATGGTGGAATTGGGATGAACTCAGAGTAAGTGCTGACCTCAGAGTGGCTCCTCCTATTGGGAAAGGAGGCTGTGGGCTGGGGCTGAACCAGGATTGCTAGGGACCTGCCCAAGGTGCTTCCTGCATGAAGGGTGTGACAGAAGGAACAGAAGGAACAGGTTGGCTCTGTTGTAGAAGCAGCAGCCTAGGGGTGTAGTTCTGACCCCTAAGGGAACTAGTCTGGGGTCCATGCACGCAGGTGGGGGCAGGAGAGCTCTGGGACCCAGGAGGAGCCAGGCAATAACTTTCTTTTCTTCTCCTTAGGACTTACCAGTACCCATTATCCAATATTGTTTGTTTGTTTGTTTGTTTGTTTGTTTGTTTGTTTTTTTGTCTGTTTTCCCTGCTAAGGTAAAGCTTCAGAGGGAGGGAAGGGCATGGCTTTTTGTCTCTTTTATTTACTATATATCCCTAGTACTTAGAATAGTGTCTGGAATCTAGTAAGGTGCCAAATATTTGTTGGATGAACTAAGTAATAAATAACTCAGCAAGAGTGAGTCTTTTTTTCAACTGGCTGCCTCGCCCTTGGCCACTTGTGTTAATGATTCACTGGGTATATTAATTTCCTGTTGCTGCTGTAATAAATTAGCACAAATGTAATGGCTTAAAACAGCAGAAATTTATTATCTTGTAGTTCTGGAGATCAGAAGGCCAAAATGGGTCTCACGGGGCTAACATCAAGGTGTCAGCAGGGCTGTGATCCTTCAGGAGGCTCCGGGGAGAATCCATTTCATTGCCTTTTCCTGCTTCTAGAGCAGTGGTTCTCAACCTTCCTAATGCCGTGACCCTTTAATACAGTTCCTCATGTTGTGGTGACCCCCAACCATAAAATTATTTTCGTTGCTACTTCATAACTAATTTTGCTACTGTTATGAATCGTATTGTAAATATCTGATATGCAGGATGGTCTTAGGCGACCCCTGTGAAAGGGTCGTTCGATCGCCAAAGGGGTCGTGACCCACAGGTTGAGAACCGCTGCCTTAGTAGGTCCTGAGGTTCAGCCTGGGAAGCTCCAGGATTGCAAACCACAGGATGGAAACAACTATTCTAGCCCAGTCAACACAGAATCTGAGGCCCAGAGAGAGAAAGTGACTTGTCCAAGGGTGGAGGTAGAACCAGGACTTGAACTTGAGCTCTTCCAGCCTGGGTCCCTGCAGAGATGAATGACAGTACTTAGCATTATTTCTCCCCATTTATACCAACTCAATTTAATGACCTCAGAGAGCCCTTTTCACACTTTTTCCATTTATTTAAATGCTTCGTATATTTATTTATAGCTGTTATTTATTTCTTCTCTGGTTTGTGAGCTCTTTGAGGGATAAGACCCTGTCTTGTTCACTTTGTCTTTAGCACCTTCCTCTGTAACTGACAGAATAGGTGCATGAATGAATAAATGAATGTGTGCGTGGATGAATGAATGAAGTAATTTTGGTAATGTGTGTAATGGAGTTGGTTTCTTATACTTAGGGGAACACAGAGGGGGAAGCATATGGGGGAAGGAATTAAAACATTTACTCATTGGTATGAAAATTATGTCTCTTTTCCCAGAGCTAATAGCTTAGATGCCATTAGCTAAAGCCTGGATTGTTAGCTGGCACAGGGTCCAACTAGCTGGCAGACTGTGTGAATCAGAAAAAAAATGACCCCCCATGCCCTTACTGGTTTGGCTCACTAGATAGAGTGTCAGCCTGTGGACTGAAGGGTTCCAGGTTCGATTCCAGTCAAGGGCATGTACCTTGGTTGCGGGCACATCCCCAGTAAGGAGTGTGCAGCAGGCAGCTGATCGATGTTTCTCTCTCATTGATGTTTCTAACTCTCTATCCCTCTCCCTTCCTCTCTGTAAAAAAATAAATAAAATATATTTTAAAAAGAAAGAAATAAAATGCCCCTTTAGGGAAAACCAATTAGTAAAAGCACATCTTTTGGACTGTCATAACTCCCCACCCCAGGCCTCAGCCTGGCTGTCTTGTTCTTTGTGCACCTGCTCAACCATCCTCAACTCCCTGAGTTGTTGAAGGGTAGACCCTGGTACTTTTCCAGAGACACTGCTGATTTCTGTGTGGTTCTCTCTCTCCCTTTCTTGCCCCTAGGCCTCTGGGCCCTGGTGAACAATGCTGGTGTGGGCCTGCCCAGTGGTCCCAACGAATGGCTGACCAAAGAGGACTTTGTGAAGGTCATCAATGTGAACCTGGTGGGACTGATTGACGTGACCCTCCACATGCTGCCCATGGTCAAGAAAGCCCGGGGCAGGGTCGTCAACATGTCCAGTTCTGGTGGTCGTGTAGCTGTCATTGGCGGTGGCTACTGTGTCTCCAAGTTTGGTGTTGAGGCCTTCTCTGACAGCATCAGGTGACTGGGTGCCACACCACTCTGGGTGGGAGTCCTGGGGTTTCACCTCAGGAAGAGAGGGCTGGGGGTGGGGAGAACAACAGCATGTGGGCAGGGGAGTTCTGAAGAGAGGAAAATAAAGCAGTAATAGGAAGAAGGCTACCCTCAGGAGGCCTTCCCCAAGGACCAAGAGAATAAAGGATGAGGAGAAGAGGTGGAGTGGTGATAGGAGGCTACAGACCTCCTTCCCTTGAGCTGTTCCAGAATAAGTGAAACCCAGTTTGGGCCTGTGAGAGTAGGAGGGATTGTCTCTCAAACAGACAGAGAGCCCTGGGGACAGATATGCTCATGGGAGACCCTCACAGGAGGATGCAAGCTTTGCATTGACCTCTCATTCCCTTTGCATTGTGAGTGTTGTGTGTGGGGTGAGTGGGAGGGACCTGGTGGGAGGTCAGGCTTTAGATTCTTTGTTAACTGCCTCCTGCTGGGTTTGCCTAATGTGAATTGTCCAGAGACCATGCTTGGAAAAGGGCTGAGGCCCTACAACAGGGCTTACTTGCATGAAAGCAAAGGCTGGCCTGGTGCAAGGGTAGGGAGGGCACCTCCAGTTTCCTGGGGAGATCAGCACCTATAGAGGTGTCAGAAGTGATGCTCTCTGATGACCTTGTGTCATCTTGGGGTCCCAGACTGAATCAAACTCTTCTTCCCCAGGCGTGAGCTCTACTACTTTGGGGTGAAAGTCAGCATCATTGAGCCGGGGAACTATCGGACATCTATTCTGGGCCAGCAAAGCATGGAGTTGCGCTTGCGGAAGATGTGGGATCGGATGCCTCAGGAGACCCGGGATAGCTACGGAGAGGAGTACTTCCAAATCTGTGAGTTTCCCTCACAGGGAGAGGGGTCTCTGGGAGGGACAGGGCGATCTTGGGGTCACTTTGATTTTACAGATGATGGGATGGAGGCTCAGAGGGGTTAAGGGCTGGGATTTGAGAACAGAGACCAAGTGGGCAACTGCTGGGAGTGACAGAACTGTAGCTGTTGGGGAGATGGGGGCATGAGGATGGCTTCCATGAACAACCCCTGAAAGACAATTTATTATTGTGGCTAAGCTGTCCAAGGATGCTGCCCACTCCTGGCACCTGCCCCACCCAACCCCCAAACGCCATTATGCTGGCGAATCAGCTGAAGATGCACTGACATAAGTACAGAGAAGTTATTAAGAGCACAGCTGCTTGAGCCAGACTGCCTGGATCTGAATCCTGCCTCTACCCCTTACCAGCTAGGAGACTTTGGGCACAATACTTAGCTGTGCTATGCCACAGTTTTCTCATCTATAAAATGGGGCTAATGATAGGCCTACTTCACAGGGCTGCTATGAGGATGAATATCTGTGAAATGACCTGCACATACTAAATGCTTGTGAAATGAATACAGAGGATAAGGAGCACCCAAGTATGTAAGGCAGCTCCCTTTCTCTCTGGGCTAAGGATCTTCTGTGAACCTCAGGAGAGTAGAGGAGGGTCATTACAGCTGTTTTCTATACTGCCCCCAAACTTTGTGCATTTCTTCCAGATTGAGGAATGAATGGAGCTCCGGCCATGGGGGCTCAAGAGGAGGGGGTGGCCTGTGGGTGCAGTGGAGGAGGAATTGGCCAAAAGACCTGTTAGGGCACCTCGTGGTAGGAGAGAGAAGGCCATTCTGAGCACCAGAAGTCCCAATGTTCTCTCAGGTCATCTAATCTCAAAGCTGAGGCTTGATTGCAGGGGAGGATGATCCAGAAGACTTCCTAGTTCTCTCCATTTCTCTGGCTCCAAGCACCTCAGAGCCACCTCTGGAGTTGCCTTTGTGAGGGGCAGACTCTGACCTGTCAACAGAAATTGGTGCTGGCACAAGCAGCTGCCACCTCCTTGGCAGGCATCTCACTTCTCCAGTTGCTTCTCTGTGACCTGGCTGCCAGCCAAGAAGGTGGCGCTTGGCTGGTTCAGGAGGTTCTGTTGGGCCCGAGTGAAGCAGCCAGGCTCTCAGCCCTGTTCCCACTCCCTTTGGACCTCAATAGTGTCGTTATGCCTTTCCCTAACCCAGATTTCCCCCTCTCTTTTCTTGGCTTCCATGAACAACCTCTGAAAGACTATTTACTATTGTGGCTAAGCTAAGACTCTGGAACTGGGCTGCCTGAGTGCAAATTTTAGCTCTTATGAATTTTGTCTTGGGCAAGTTACTCGGTTTTCTCACCTGTAATGAGTTATGAGAATTCAATGAGTTAATATACAGGGTGTCCCCAAAAATGTACACACACACATTGAATAATTATAAAGGCAGTATTTATTAAAATACATTTCATTTTCAAAATTGAGCTATCAGCTGTTAAAGTGTGTATATACATGTGTATATATAAAATGTTTAGATCGCCTGATCCCTGGTAGGAACAATTTGATTTAAAAGTGGTTTTTCTCCTCCCTTAGGCTGAGTATAGCCTCCTTCTCTCCATTATACTGATACCTACAAGCTATAAGTTCTGTATGGCAAAGAGACAGTCTTAGATAGTAATTGTCCAAAATCCAAAGTGATGCATTTTTTAAATATACCCAGAAAGTCTCAATGAGTTCAATGTAATCACTCAATCAAATGCATGGCAGGTATCTAACTGCCCGGCATGGTCTCCTGAACAACATACATCAACAGAGTAAAAAGCCAAGTTGCCAAAACCACGACAGCCATTTATTCCCTTATTACACATTCGATTGAGAGCCCACCCCATGCCAGGCATTGTGTGGAGCTGGGAGTGAGAGTAGATCAAGCTGCAGGGCTCTACTCTGGCTCAGTGCAGGCAGAAGTCGCAATCTTCTGCGGGCCTTAAAAGAATATGGAGAAAGACAAACTTCCTCTGAAAACCACTTGTCAAAAAACTGCTACCATTCCTCTGGAGACCGTGTGGATTCAGAGTTTAGATGACAGCTGTCCTTCCAACGACTTTACACAACTGTCTAAACTTCAGTTTCTTCATTATAAAGTATAATCATTCCTCCCTCCGGATTGTTCAGAGAATTAAACCTTAGCCATCGCTGTTAGCACTGAGGGAAGTTGGACTGGGGGAGGTGTGACGGGGTTGTGGTGGGGGATGGGGCTGGGGGAGGTGTGACGGGGTTGTGGTGGGGGATGGGGCTGGGAGAGATTTAGAGTCAGATCCTAGGAGGTTTGGATGGCTCCATTAAGGAGAGAGACTCTTATCCTGAAGGCACTGGAGAGCCTTTCAAATGGCTCTGACCTGACCTGATCAGATTTGCGTGTGGGAAGGATGAGCTTGGAGATATGAGACCAGCTGGGAGGCTACCACAGAAATCCAGTGAAGGAATGACAGAGGCCTGAGTTACAAGTCTTGGTGCTTATGGGAACTGCGTGTGTGTGGGGTGCGGGTAGTGTTTCAGGAGGCAGGTGCTGTGGAGACAGACTAAAGAAAGATTGAGGAATGCTCATGCAGCACCATTGGGCAGAAAGTCCAGCAAGTTACGGCCAATCAGGCAGGCTTGTGGCCTGTGAACCCTGGACCAGGCTAGGTATCTTAGAGTGATGGCTAGTTAATAGCAACCTAATGTGGGAACGGTCCCAAAGAAGCAGCACACACTCACCAGGGCAGGAATGGGAACAGAGCACAGGATTCTTGCCCTAACAAGCCCGGGGTAGAGCCACAGCCGACAAGCAACACCGTCACCTGCCAAGTTCCTTTTTCATCTCAACCCTGCCAGCCAGGGAGGCCACCAAAAATTCCTCTTTTGGTCTCCTTTTTTTCCCAGGAAGGGACTAGATCAGAAGCCCAGGACCTGTCCCTGGCAAAAGAGAAGAGGAAAGAAACTCAACTATTGGGTCCAAAAGTGCCAAAGCCTGGTCTCTGATATTTAATTCTCACAATAACACAAATGTTTCCCAGTTGCCTGAATCCAAAGCCCATGCTCTCCTTTACTATCTAGGAGAGTGACAGGTTAAATGGGTACCTCTGTCCCGCTTCCCACTCTGTGTCTAACAGGGTGCCCACCACAAAATAGGACCTCGATACATATTTGAAATAATAATGGAAGAATGTGCCTTACACGACTTCTGTGTCTCAGGTAGCTTCTCCCACCCCACTGGCTGTGTGGGTCCTTCCCATCTTTCAGAGCCTAGTTCCAAAGCCACCTTATCACATCAGCTTGCCTTGCCTTCATCAGCCCACACACCCTTCTGTGTTAGCTGGAATGGATTCTCCCTGGCTCTCGGTTAGCGCCTGCAGCCCTGAGCACCTTGAATGAGTACACTGACATTCGGCTCCCTGCCTGGGACCTTTTGGTAGGGGACTCTGCGTCAGGGCCAAGGATGGAGGACAGAGTGTTGGCTTCCTAAGACATTATCATTTTACAGACAGCGTGGCTCTTTGGTAGTTTGCCCCTTTTCACTGCAGTAGTTTCCTTTCTAGGAAACAGAAAGGGAAGTTCCTCAAAGCAGGGGCAAGAATACTCAAATGACATTGTCCTGTTTTCATCAACCGCGTACCGGGGTTCTGCCCAGAGCAGGTGAATTCCTTGCCTTCCTGGACCAACTCCAAAGTCAGGCCTGCTTTTGCTCCCTCTTTGTTTTCAAGTTTTTTTTTGTTTTTTGTTTTTTTTAATATATTTTATTGATTTTTTACAGAGAGGAAAGGAGAGAGATAGAGAGTTAGAAACATCGATGAGAGAGAAACATCGATCAGCTGCCTCCTGCACATCTCCCACTAGGGATGTGCCCGCAACCCAGGTACATGCCCTCGACCGGAATCGAACCTGGGACCCTTCAGTCCGCAGGCCGACGCTCTATCCACTGAGCCAAACCGGTTTTGGCTGTTTTCAAGTTTTAATGCCTTATCTCTAAGTCTGACTCTCAGGCACCACCTCCTCCAGCTTGGGCGGCCATTGATGTATGAGCGCTAGAGCACGAGGGAGATCACAGCGCGCAGGTGTGTCTCGGGCCTTGCTCCTATTTGTGTAGTGAGCTTTGGCAGGCTGGGACCACTTGGGTGCCTTGTACTCATCTCCACACCCATGTGCATAATGCTAATAGAATAACCCCCACATCTGTTAGAGCTTATAAGGCGCCTGTCTGTGCCTGAGACCACCTGAGCCCCACAATGGCCTTATGTCCAAGGCAAGGGCAGTGTTACTATTTTCTAATAACACTTTTTTTCCTGAATGCTTTTGTAGAAAATTCAGGAACTCCAGGGAGTAAGCAGGAGAGAAAAATACTCCAGTAACTGTGAATCTCACTCACCAGACAATATTTTTACTTCCTTCCTTCCAATTTTTCTATGCACTTACATACATTTGTTTTCTATTCTGTCATCTTCCACTGTCTACCCTGCTATTAGTCATATTCTCTAGCACAGGTATTGTTATTCCTATTTCACAGATGATGACAGTTTAAGCTCAAGGTCACACAACTGATAAGCGGCCCAGTTTTTCTGTTGCTAGTCTAACACAATAAAGGAATTCAATACACTTTTTTTTTCAATTACAGTTTACATTAAATATTATTTTATATTAGTTTCACGTGTACAGTATAGTGGTTAGACAATCATAGACTCTACAAAATGACCCCCCCCCCCAATATTTCAAGTAACTACTTGGCACTGTACATACTTATTACAATATTATTGACTATATTCCCTATGCTGTTCTTTACATCCTTGTGACTATTTTGTGACTGCCAATTTGTATTTCTTAATCCCTTCACCTTTTTCATCTCACCCTCCACACCGCCTCCCTCTGCCAACCAACAATCTGATCTTTGTATCTATGAGTCTGTTTCTATTTTCTTTGTACATTTATTTTATTCTTTAGATTCCACATATAAATGAAATCATATGCTATTTGTCTTTCTCTGTCTTATTTCACTTAATATAATACCCTCTAGATCCATTCCTGTTGTCATAAATGGTAAGATTTCATTCCTTTTATGGCCACATAATATTCCATTGTATATATTCTACCACTTTTTTATCCACTTGTATATTGATGAGCACTTGGGTTGCTTCCATATCTTGGAAGCATATTGAATTAGTGCAATACACAATTCTTGAATTCAAGAAGAGAAATAAGAATATTTACAGGGTATTTGTATAAGGGATAACCTGGAGGGTGTGGTTGATCTGCCTAAAATGGTGTGATGGAAAGAGAGCTTGGATGAAATTCAGAAGGAACCATCTTTAATGAAGAATAATAGAGCCTTTTATTCCCCCCTCCCTCCCTCAAACAGATTCTGACAAGCTAACAAACATGTTGAAGTTGGCAGAGCCAAGAATCAGAGATGTCGTCAACAGTATGGAACACGCTGTTGTTTCCCGGAGCCCCCGCATCCGCTACAACCCCGGCCTGGATGCCAAACTCCTCTACCTCCCCTTGGCTAAGTTGCCCACCCCTGTGACAGATTTCATCCTGAGCCGGTACCTTCCAAGGCCAGCAGACAGTGTCTGAGCCGGGAAAGCCCAAGGAGTGGTCATTGGAGTATAGAGGAGGGGCCTGGGAGAAGGGACTATGGGGTCACAAGAGGTGGCATCAGACATTCTGGGGACACTTTGCTTGTCTGACACCCATTGCTGGTGAATTTATAGGTAATTTCTAACAGAAGATGAATCCTCTTCCCACTCACTGGGGCAACACAGAAACACAAAGACCCGCAGCATGGTCCCAAGAACCTCTGTCACCTGGTCAGTATATAGCCTTTTCTGGACCTGGAAAAATCAAGGCGAGAATAACTAGCTCCTGCTGCATCACACACCTCCCTCAGTTGTCACTGCCACTGGGAAACGCTGTGGCATAACCCAGCCCACAGGAGAATCTCAACCACTTTCTGACTGGGTTTTTAAATATGCATTAACTTCTTCCACATAACCCATTATTTAAATAATGTAGTAAGGCAGACAAGATTAATAATAGGGAGTACAAGATTAACCAGGCAAAGTTTATAATATTTTCTCTCTTATAAGTTCCTCTATTCATAGGTGATTGGGATCCACATGAAATAATATTCATTTATTTAATCAGCATTAATTAATTCTTTAAATATTTATTGAGTGCCTACTACATACCAGGCGTTGTGTAGTTGCTGGAAGTTTATACAATGATTAAATCATGGTCTTGATTTATTTTGTGGTTTTGTTTTTGTTTTTTACCAGTGTCTAATAGCAAAGATGGGACAAATGGTGATAAAAGAAAGCATAAATAAGAAAATCACCTAATTCAGTGGTTCCCAAACTTGGCTGTATGTCATAATCTCCTGGCTAATTAAAATTACAGATTCTTAGGCCTCAATGTTAGAAAATGTTATTCCGTAGGCTTGGGATGGGGCCCAGAAATTTGCATTTGTAATAAGAATCACGGTTCTGATGCACCTAGACACGTGGAAACTGTTGGTAGTCAAGAGAAGGCATTAATGTTCAGAGGAGGACATGCCCTATTCAAAGCACCCCCAGCACAGTGACCAAGGCAGAACTCAGGTGTTCAGATCCCCAGGTTAGGGTTTCAGTTATAGGAGAATACATGTCTGAAATTAGTAACATTGTGAAATAAGTCATGGAACTAATTTTTAAAAAATATACCTTAAATTTCTGAGCCATATGACATTCTATTGAAAAAGACTTTTTTATCTTGAGGAATGGTCATGTAATAAAGGTAAATGTGAAAATTTTTTATTAAAATGTCTTTGTGTCGCCCTAACCGGTTCGGCTCAGTGGATAGAGCATCGGCCTGCAGACTCAAGGGTCCCAGGTTCGATTCCGGTCAAGCGCATGTACCTTGGTTGCGGGCACATCCCCAGTAGGGAGTGTGCAGGAGGCAGCTGATCAATGTTTCTCTCTCATCGATGTTTCTAACTCTCTATCCATCTCCCTTCCTCTCTGTAAAAAATCAATAAAATATATTTTAAAAAAATGTCTTTGTGTCTCTTCAACATCGGCTGAACTTGAGAGTAATAAAACTTAATAACATCTACAAATAACTTATATTCTAAATAAGTTAACATTCATAGATTCCAGGGATTAGAATGTGGACATGTCTTTTTGGGAGCCACCACACAACCCACTGAGTCTGTTATTTGCATCA